TTAAAGTAAACAGTATCACTGGCTGTCCAACATGGACAATTACATGGTAAGATTCAGTCTGGTCATATTTTGTATTTCAGCTCATGAATACATGGCACTGGAGTAGCTATCATTGTGAGTTAGAAAGATGAGGTCAGCATGATGGCACCCACACTGTAATGCACTTGTTGTCATCATTTTGACAACTTCAGCAGTCTATGTATACACAGCACAGACTATCTGACTAGCAGTTACCATATTCTACTGCTGGATTAGCACTGCAGTAGTCCATGGGTCACATGGGTTCATGGGTCAGATTTTGGCTACCCATACCCATACCCATGCATACCCATACCCATGACCCACATGGGTAATCCATACCCATGCAATGCACTAAATTAACTGCCATATCCATTTGTGGGTGCTTACTGTTGCCAAAAGTGATTGATTATATTCTAATGGAGCCCAGTGCTGCTGGTTAGGTCACATGCCATGTTCACCACTTTCCATATTGGGCTCCACACTAGATGTTACAGGAGCCCCAAGTCCATGGGGAATCTTCAGCCACAGCACTTGTTTGGGTGTGTTGGTGCAAGTCATGTCATCTGGGAGTCTAAAATTGGAAACTCAGCTAACGGGGGCATGTCAACAGTTACTTACCTTTGGTTATCTGGTGCCCAAACAGTCACATGCACTGTGGGAAAAGCCTGCCACATTGGGCTCCATGCTAAGTGTTACATCCTCTCCAGTCATAAGAATGTTTCCTTCATACCTCAGGGATCATAATTCAGATTGAATCAATGTTCTTACCTGATGCCAGGCGTCTTGCAGGGTACCAAGATCCCCCCTTTGTGCCTGAAGGATGTCCCTTGAACTGACATGAGTTAACATGACCCAACTAAGCCCACATTGTACCTGTGATTGGAGGGGCCCAGGCTGAAATCACTTGCCACCCCAACTACTAATCATGTAGGGATGGTAGTATGCTGTACTAGAAGATCAGTACTGATCTGCACCAACACTACTGTGCTGAGAATCATTACTGCCCTGATCTGTGCCAGTGTGTGCATGGTCATGCCAGGACACAACACCAGATCTGACTGGTCATGTACAGTGGCAGCTGCAAATTCACCTTGCATGGCAGCTGCACAAATGGTTGTGTGGGTTGGCTGCAAACTGGCCATGTGGGGTGCCAGCTGCAAACTGTTCCTGTGGGGCAGCTGCAAACTGGCCTTCTTCAGTGGCTGTGTTGGGGTCCTGATCACCAACCACAAACTCCCTGAGTTGTGGCTCTTGCTGTGTGAAGGGGAGTACATTGAATGCATTTGTGAGGCCATCTCAGTGCGGGGCCACAGAGTGGTCGCATTGGCTCTGCACTGCACCCTACACACCCGTGACTCAGTGACTAGTCTAAGTAGGTCAACTTCATACTCACCTGCATCACAGTGGGATCATGACTGTAGTCATATCCTGTCACTGGTGGTGCTTGATCTCTTCAAGTCCAAGTTGAGTCAATTGCAGGTTTCCCTGGATTGAGATCTGCCATGTGATTTGCATGTACATTCTGCAAATTGTCAGTGATCCTGTGTGATCAAGCAGAATATGTTTACAAACACAAGGCTCCTTTAGCCTCACAGGGTACCTATCCTGATGATTGTGTGAGGAGGATGTGGGGGCACTATGCTCTGACATTGTGCTGACAGTGCTGGTGAGTGGTGAGAGACAACATGCAGTTGTGGGTATTCATGACTGCTTCCTGTGACAAGATGAGATGAGATGAGACAAAAATAGCTCATACTCAACTTCAAGTAGTGCATAGCATGGGTATACCCATACCCATCACCTTCAAAGGGACTCTTTTGATGCCTGTAGACTGTCCATAGATTCTGTATGTCTTGGTGACATCTGGAACCTGCCATAAAGGGTAGCTAACCTTCCCCAAATGGTAATTTGTCATGCAGCTGCTCAGTCTGGGCTCGGAAAATGTAGATAAAACCAGGGAATATTGTGTGCAATTGGACTCACTTGTAGTACCTGCTGTATGTAAGACATTAATTCAGTATGGCACCCCCAGAGGCTATGACCAGTATGGCTTGCCCATGTATCAAATCCAAAATGCAGAGAAATACCCCTACCTCTGTAGACATGATTGGGTAGCATTTGACTGGTATACACTGACTGAGCTCCAACCAACTGTGATAAATATAATAAGCTCACCTCATAGCCCTTCATTCATAGTGTCTGTCATAGTTTCTTGAGAGTGGTTGAATGAGTAGCAAAATGCTGACATAAAACAGAAGTGACTCTGTGAATATGAATGTGTTCTGTTGCATCTGAAACACATGACAGATGTCCTCTACAGCCAAGTGTATAGTTTCCAACACATTGATGTCTCTGAAACATGCACAGCAGTGCTACAAATGGAGAAATATTGTCATAGCAAGTATGTGTTGATGTCCCAGCACTGAATAACTATACAGGACAATCCTCTCTACTTGTGAATATGCTCATAAATGCTCCACAGATCTCCTGGAATATTATCCGATTTTCCTGGACTTTTCTGAGCCCAAAACAAGTCAGATTTGCTGCAGTAACAGGCTGAACTTACATCGCTTACTAAGCGCCCGTTTAAGCGCCCGTTGCCGAATCTTCCTAGAGCCCCATTAAATGCGGAGAAATCCCAAAATATTACCTCTCCATGCAATGCCCCTTGTGTACTGATAGCAGTGTCCAGATTAGGTATCTTTGAGAGTACTGACCATCATAAGTGATGATACTGAGGCATATAAGCAGATCTTGGTGTGTGTATGATGCTTGTACTAGACAGTTCCACATGTATGAGAGGCTCTGTGAAGTGGGGGATATCAAACATACAAAACAGCCATATATGGTCAGTCCCCTGCCCATTTGGGAAGTTGGCCATGCATGGCCTCTGCAGGACTGGATAAATAGCAGAAAAATCAGGGACAAATCAGATAGTACTATGAATTCATATTGAGTTGACTGTTGAGGCTCCAATATGGCAGAAAACATATGATAGTGCAGAATGACCCATGCATAGCCTGATACAAGCCACTCTGTTAGTCCATCTTGTAAGAATCAGTATCACCTGGAATTCTCAGGGACTGGCAATTCCAGACAGGATCCTAGGCTATTCTGTTTGGTTCAGCTATTCAATAGGCCCTGAAAAGGCAGGCTTCCAAGCTGTTGGGCTGAGTCTGAATGCAAGTCACAAGTTCATTAGTGACACTGTATTTGCTGTGCTATGGTCTCCCAAAAAATCAAAAACGATTGGGAAAACTACCAGTCATGTATATGATGTCAGAGAGGCTTTACATAGTACGTGTTCCCATAGATTCATATAAATATAGTGCCAGTCACAAAGCATATGGCTCTGTGAACACTGGTTCTTTCACATTGTTTGTTTTTCCTGTGATACTTACCAACTGCCTATGAATTGTGTGACCAAACCTGCTATATGTGATAGTTTACATTCCCAAAATGGAAAGTCTGAGTTACCTGCTGTGTCTGTGCTCAGAAAATGCGGATAAAACAAGAGAATATTTTGAATGATTCCACTCAGGCTCACCTTGTACTGCTTGCTGTGAGTAGTGATTGGCTTCTGTCTGAACCCTTGGGCAGGCTATGGTGTATTCAGAAAATGGTGGACACCTGTGGCACAAAGGCCACAGTTCATGCTGAGCATGTTCATAATACTCACTCTGTGTCACATGTCAATAGCATAGCCATCAGAATTGTGGGTCCACAGATCTTTTTCACACTGTACTGATCCTAAAAAGTGATACAAAGACATTGTACAAGTTGTGTTGTGGAGTTACTACTGTTGTGAGAAAGTCTATAGGCTAGCAATGTCATAAAGTGGGGCCACCACACTACCACACATCGTATATAGTCTTGATGGTCTTTGCAATGCTAGATAAATAGTAGGAAATAAGATAAACTCAGACAATCCCATGACTTCACATTGTGCTGACTGTTGTAGGCCAATGCAAGACAGTAGATCTCACATGTGCTAATGCATCTGCACATAGCCTGATGTCAGGAGCTCTATTGTAGCAGTTCAGTATAAGCATGTCTTTGACTAATCTTGTCAATATGAAGCAGTGCCATTTATATAGTATGATGGTGCTATGCTTGGTTGTTAGTCCCTCAGATGACTTTTGCCTGGAACATATCTAACCTCTGTATGCACTACCAGCATCCTATTCTCATGCAATGGCCCTTGGTATGTGGGGATAGAATAGGCAGCTTTTTTCCTGATTGGGTTCAGAAAAAGCCATCCATGGTTGCTCTGGAAATAATGCAGACTTGCATTGCTTACTAAGCAACAGTGAAGAGGCCATACTACAATGGACTTCTGAGCCAATATAAGGCTGTCCTTTTATAGCTCTCTAGTCAGTAATATGCCTTCAGGAGTACTCTCATTTGCTGCAACTGTCTCCTTTTACATGTGATTATAAAATGTCAGCTACTCATGCTCAATCATTTCATGTTATATGGGAAGTGGAACAATAGCACTTTAGACCAGGGTGTGAACATGTTTGATATATGAACAGCTTTGGAAATATGAATATGTGGCAGTGTGCCTACTAGCACCCAATTTGGCAGTTGATCCTGGATGGTATCTGCCATGCCCAGAGGAATGTCAATATCAACATATGGTGTCTAATCCCAATATAGTACCATTTTATGTGCACACACAGTCAGCCAGAAAATGACACTGGTAAATAATTACCTTGGGAGTGTGTCTGGAGATATAGAAATCCCTTGACTTATGACCAGAGTGCATGACCATTGATAATAGGCATTGCTAGAATACCCAGGAGAGGCTACAATGACCCCATGTGCAAGTCTTAGTATGCAGGCTGTTGTTAGGGGCAAGGAACTTTCACAAGGAATTCCACACATGTGATCTTTGAATAGGATAAGCAGCAGTTGTTATCATTCCTGCACTTTGTTATCTTTATTTCATTTCCTTTTAATGGACTTCGCTGTAGTATTCACAGTGCCTTCTCACCACATTCAGGTGATCTTTTGTTTCTCACATTGTCATGCTTTGTAGCACTTGATTGTGTATGTACTGACTGGACTATTACCAGGCTCCTAGTACTTTCCTTAGGCCCCTTGTGACCAGATGATCTGAAAGCTGTTACTGGGTGACTATTAGCTCAGAATATTGATGATAATATTCCAGCTGGCAGGCAATCTATGAGTGGCTCATCAAGCTGTACACTATTTCTGAGTTTTCATAGGGCTACACTAGTGTTTCAGGTTAACATCCATGTGGTCCCTCATGTTTCACAGAGCACATGCTTGATGATCAGTGGCAATCATTAACACACATACCCTTGCCTTGCTTTTTCCCTACTTTTTGAGCCTTATTGTGCATCTTGAATGGCCTGGGAAAGTGGTGTACTGAGTCTTCTACTATTTGGATTCTATGAAGTATCTTATGTAGCTAAGAGGGAGTGCACTTGGGAAATGCACAAAAGGAGCATCCCTAAGAGAAACATTTGACTCATCTAGCACTTGCTTCTGTGCTCTTATGTACCTTCAATTCATCAGTGATCAACACAAACCAGTAATACTGTTCATTAGTATTTTGGTAATATTGGTAAGTAACTTGGCAATTCATCAAGTAAGAAATAGATCCATAATGTCTGTGTTCTCAATGGAGAGTCTCATATCAATATGTAAATACTTACTCAACTGGGATGTTGCTCATAATTGCAAACTATGCTCCTCACATTAGAACAACATAATAAATTAGCAGGCTACTCTGAATGTTTATGCCATGAGATGGCAGCTAGGTGGTGCAAAATGTGGAAGATATGTCAGTACTCTATGCAGACAGTATATTAGCAGTCTTGCTGAGCTCAACTTCTGATGTAGTCAAAATGTTTTACTCACAAATTGACATGTATCCAACAAAAGGGATCGTACTGCCAGCTATGGCCCTCTCCCCAGCAAGTCATTGCCTCATGGGCCTCTACTTTAGTGGCCTCGGTGGGCTCCTTGAGCCCAAGCTTCTCAGTCACCCGCTTTTGCAGTTTGTGGAGCAACACAACCTTTGCCTCCTGGTGCTCCAAGGCCCTCTGGAGTGGTACTGGGAGCTTTTCATGAGTGGGCCCAGAAGACTGCCGCATGAACTCCAGGAGTGGTGCACTGGCACTAAGTTCCGCAGGACCACCTTGTGTCTGCTTGACAAGTTCCTCTTCTAGCTTAGTTCAATGTGCAGGGTCCCATGATAGCTCAACCAAGCGAAAAGCGGGTGTTTGCACAAATTGTGCACAGAACACAAGAAATGCCTCCTCCCAAGCAGCGGCCTGAGCAGGGGACACTTTACCGTGCGGCATGATTGCAAAGCTGAGAAAAAGCTTTGGTAAGTGCATACAACAAGTGTCCATGTGGCGCACCTAAGCAGAGAGAGAGAGAGCAAAGACCTACTGCGGGTCTGCAGGTAGGTGAGGACTCGGAGGTGCAAGGCGAGGTGCGAGCAGAGGCATGGGAAAATTGCCAGCCTGGTGCGCTGTGGGTCGCAGTGGATTCTCACTCCCACCTCACTTGCACCCAGCTGAAGCCGCAGGAGCTCTGCTGCTTTGTTTGACTTCTACTATGCCTCTCGACTCTCCCGCACCCTCGCCTTTTGTTGCACCCTTGCTGCCTGCCCACGCACCCTCACCTTGTCCTCGCACCCAGCCCCTCACCTGCTCTTGCACCCTCGCGAAGTTGCCTGCCGCGTGCAATGCTCATGCGCAGTCAGCTGCGGCATCGAGTCTGCCTGCAGTGGTCTGGGGCATTGCTCTGCCCCCCCCCCGGGGCGAGTGACAACCTCGCACTGCAGCTGACCCTCGCCAATGGGCTCCACCCAACAGCCGCACGGCTGCCCGGAGTCACACCCCCATCTTGGTGCTCCCAGAGTGCGCCAGCTGACCTCGCAGCTCCTTCGCCCTCGCCCTCTACCTAGTACTGCTACTTGGCAGTGCAAATTGCTCCCACCAGCTTGCTTTCCGCTGCACACAAATCTTGCAATGGCTCGAGAACTAGTGCTGCCAGCTGCTCAGGACTACACGTCCCTCATGCTCCCATTGAAGTCCATCCTCACTGGCGGCATCCGTGCCGGGGTCATGGTGAGTCGCAGAACTGCCCATTCATCCCTATCGGTATCTAATCCCACAAAACAGTGCTCCTTACCTGCCTGATCGTCAATCCACGCTACCTGCTCGGCACCCTCGAGCCGTCTGCCTACATGAACTACAAGGCGAGGCACCGGCACCGTGCACGGCTGGCGGACAAGGCGATGGGCAAGACAGCGATCAGTAACTCACTCGTGCACAAGATGGTTGGCCCGCCGTTCACAAAGGAGGTCGAGGCGAGTATGATGCTGAACCCACTCACGTGCACGCTGCGACCAGCAGCTGCACGTTCTTGCAGCTGGTGGTGGAGGCTCCTGTCACGTTCCGTGCCACCAAGACCATCTCCAAACTCCAGTTCCGTTCTCTCTGTCTCCGTTTCTCCAAACTCAGGTTTTATTGTATTCGCTTAGCCTATCTTCTCCCGCATTACAATTAGCATACCGCATGGTCTGTATCTTGCACGGACAATTAGCTTATTGTATTCGCTCCAGTTACTAACATCTCTGGTCTTCCGTTATTGTTCTCCGTATCCCTTCCTCTGTCTTATTGTCTTCCATTCACAATTAGACTTGCTGTATATAAGGTCAAACTGTGGCACTGTTGTACTCCAGTTCAAATATCTCGTTTAACCAATCCAAATTCCTTTCCTCCGAACTCCTGTCTGAACTCCGGCCTTCCGTCCGACCTCTGTCTAGCTTCTCTCTTTCTCCCTTCTCCCTCCGACTCTATCTCTGGACTCCGTCATAGTCCACCTCTGTCCAAGTCCAAATATAGGACCTCGTCGAGTTCTCCCAAGGGTGTTGTCAATAGCTTCGCCAAGTCCTCACTCTGCTGCGCTCCAAAACTCCGGACTTTGTAGCTCCGGCCTCAGACTTCGTCTCGAGTGCACGGTTGTAACAGTATATTCGAACTGACTCTTCGGACCTCGATATGACCGACAATTTCTGCGGGTTCTCCACTGGATGTATCCATGTTCCATTGGTCAACAACCCCACTCCAAGCATGCCCACCCGGGCTGCGCCAGTGACACCTACCGTTCGAGGCACGACGGCAATACTTCCACCGGATACTGTTACATCAGGAAAAAACGCCCGTGTCCCCAAGTGGTTGTGGAGACAATAAAACAGGTTGTATAGTGATTTGGCCAGCTCTCGAGCTGTGATAGGCACTGTCGTCTCAGCAAGACAAGTCCTTCGATTTCAAGTGTGTTGTATTTGACCTGTCGGATCTCAAAGACATTGTGAATTCCCCAAATCCCTTGGAGAGCTCGCTCAATCAAACCAGGTATGTACTCTCGAGAGCTCTCAGCTAGGTTTCACTCACTCTAGAATCACTTTTTATGATCATTACTTTCGTATGCCAAACCTGGCAGCCCAGCAGTCATTATAGATGACCTGTTTCAAGCTTGTTGATCGCATCAATGATCCTATTGATCATTGTAGTACATGCACAGCACGTACAAATGCCTACACCTAATAATACAACACCTAGATAATACTAACGAGACGGTAGAGACGAGCAGTGAGATGTGAGTGAGCTACAGGTGGTCAGATGGCTAACAAAGCGTGGGTATCCTTCCGTACAGAACAGATCAACTAACTCGGCACAGTGTCAATCCCACATGGAAGTGATATTGCGAGGCTGCGACCACTCACCTTATGTCCCGACAACCTCTTACTTGGTCTTGGAGCTGCTCGCGACTGGATGGAGGGGATACAATACTTGACCAGCCTGTGACTGTACACCTGAGACAGCGGACACCGGTGCCTTCTTCTTGCCCCATCGGCCGAGAACTGCCTGCATGTCAATACCATCGTTGACTTCCTGGGTGCTGCCCTTGTCCCTCTGGCTCTTGTCATGGGCAATGCCAGCAAATGCCCTACACGACTTGTCAACAGATTGTGTCCGATGCAATGTAAGTAACCTACATGATGTTCGACACCATAGTGTTGTTCATTGACTTCACGAGCTCGGAAATACCTTCGTCGTACATTCTGCTGTTCGCATCCAAGTGTTTACACAACCTGTCTATGCCGGCTTTCAAGTGATCATGCCTGCAAGACAAAGATTATTAGCAATTGTGCGCAGGACATGGTATAACTTACTCTGTGGCATAAGTCATCTCGTCGAAGTTGACGGTGGTATTGCCTGCCAATGTTTCATGGAAGGCAACTAAGATCTGTCAATGTGTCAGGTTATCCGATACCCATGCAGAAGCCCAGCTACTCACTGCGCTGCAGGTCGGAGCGATCATATTGCTCGACGGCGGCTTGACGTTGATGTCAAAGCGAGACCGGTTCTCGTGGCGAGGGGCTTCCGGGTGCTGCCCTAGCCACCACTGCCGCGACATGATCTCCGCCATCATGACACTGTGGAAAGGCATGTCAAGCTCAGGCTCATCCCACAGCTTATGTGTGGCAGTTAGCGGAGTAGGTTAAGCACTACGAAGCATGGATACTTGCTGGGGAGAGGGCCATGACTGGCAGTACGATCCCTTCGGTACTGTAGCACTTTTTTACACCTTAGGCAACCTTGACATAGAGACCTATTGTCATATGTCTGTTCCCTGCACTGCACAGTTGCAAGCCACCACTTGCAGTCAGGATACCTTCATCAGTGCAATTCTGTCCTATCTCTTTGCCATCATTGAACCAGATATGACCATTTGTTGATATTATCCTTGCTGTGAAGTGGAATCCACCAAAGTAAATCACCCCACACAGTCAGTAAGAGGTGTTACCTAAGGCAGTGTTAATGTCCACCTTTTTCTCTAGCCTAGTGCAATCTGCCCTGTATACATTAAATGCAATAAAGTTGGGTGCTCTTGTAAGAACTTCTTCATGGATCATAGTTGCATTACAAAAGCGGCATCTAGTTCCAAGTTTGTGCTTCTGGGTAGCTTTGACCCAATGAGAAGTTGTCCGTGTTGTCACATGGCGCCCCCGCGCAATCCTGGAATCCCACAATGCAGCATCCAATGTCCATAGCTTGGTTGAAGAAGTGGTCACATGTTGGGAGACATGGCATGAGGAGCATCGGTCTGTCTCATTGCAGTAGTCCATATCATGAGAAAGCATCTGCTTGCACAGAGCATACAGATCAGACCCTGCAGGAGCTACCATGGGGAATGAGTTTGGATCATCATTGTGCAGCATCTCATGCATTCTGTCCCGGACACTGTTGAGGTTGGTTTTGTTTTGGTGGACCTGCTGCAACATGTCTGTGAAAGCTGAGAGATATTTGTTTTGATGAGCTATATGCTGCTGCCAGTACATGTTCTGTTCTTGGTAAACACAATGCAAAATGCCCAGCAGACTGTCAAATGCACAGCTATATGTCTCTTCATTCCAGTCAAAACAGAGTGGCATATTGCTATTATTTGCCAGTGGTCGTGCTCTCTTTGCTGGCCTGTCATTACTATCTTTATGTGTCCCTTGTCCCAGGGGCCTCTTGCGCATGTTACCACCAGTGTCTGTACTCACAGTTGTAAGCTGTACAGCCCCTTTGGCAGGAATATACTTGGCTGCCTGCAAATCCTGTTGGGAGATCCGTTGTGTATCTTCACTTGCTGCTTGCTCAGCAAGCTCATCTGTGCTTCCTTGTTTTGCATTCTTCTTCTTTGGATGCTCTACTATATCCCACTCAGCTTCCTTGTATGGAGCCTCAATGTCAAAGGGCTGCTTCTCAGACCATCTCAGTGCAGTGTGCATGGTCTTGGGCATGTGTTTAGCACCCTTTGTGTTCCTGTAAGCATGGATGAGGGCTACACGGGTGACCCCTTGTACTGTTGGAGACAATGTTCCTTCATATCTCAATTTTGTGATCTCATCTAGCAGCTCCAGCTCTCTGAATTCCTGTCTGAGCCAGCCAGTGACACCGCCCGTGAATTTAGAGTTGTCAAAGCCCTGGACAATAATGGTCCCCTGATAGCTTGAACCCCTGGACAGACACGTGTACACAGATTGGTGATTTTTGCAGTTCTGGAGGTCCACCACATTGTATGGCCTGGTACGGCCTTGGGAATTGAAATCAGTCATGGCAAAGTTGGGTATGAGAGCCACTTGAGTTCTGTGGATAGTCAGTGTGCGGTCATTGGGCATCAAGCAGGGAATCTTTATTGTCTGAGCAGCAATTGGGACTACATTCTCAGGTAAACCATCAAGTTTGACAGGAGTGGGAGCAGCAGTAAGCTTCACAAATACCACATCCAGCATTCTCTTGTCTCCTGTGAGTGGCTTGGATTCCCATCCTACAACTACTGCCTCTGCTCCATTGGTGACATTGCACTCCGTGGCTTCATTGGCTTTAATCATGACAGGAAGTCCTACACAGAGGGATATTATCCCTGGGTGATTATTGGAATTTTTATTTGGCAATGCCCAGAGTTGATTTTACAGATGAGGATGGATCTTGTCCACCTTGCACCTGACATCCGCATTTTTCTTCATTTTGCGCGTTTTTTTACTCTCCTCAGGACTCCCATAATGGTCTAGAGAGTAAAAGGTTTCCAGAGTCTGGCCTGTATCCTTTGCAAACCTCGCTACACCAAGCTCATTGATTCGGTCTCTGTGGGAATTGTATGACAGTATGATAGACACATTCCGGAAGTTGGGATCACTAAGCTTTGGTTTGCCTTTGCCCCGGCCAGCTATACAGCCTCGCAGAAAATTCACATCTGCCATTGTGCAAGCTTTGTAGCGTAAGTTGTCCAGCAGTTTTCTGAATTTTGCATCTTCAGCACTCTGAGACTTCTGTCTCATATTTTGTCGGAGAATCACAACTGTAGTAACTTGATGCCAAATTGCCTTCCCAAGGGACGCCTCTTGTTGTCTCCAACTTCTGACACTGGCTCAAGCTGTGCAAAATCACCAGCAAAGATCATATTTTTGCCACCAAATGGCTCACCAGTGTTGCTATATATGCAACATAGATGTGCAGAAATATCATAGAAATGGTTGCAGACAACCATGGAAATCTCATCCAGAAATATGTAGTCCACATCCTTCAGTCTGTCACGGACATTCCGCAGAGTCCTATTATTAGCATCACCATATTTGGAGAATCCCAGCATGGAGTGGTATGTAGATCCAGAGATGAGGGATGCTGCAGAGCCAGTGGGAGCCATGCATGCAAAGCGATAGCCTTCATTGTGATCTTGGAAGAACCTGATAAAGCCTTGATGACCTGAGATTTCCCAGTTTCAGCCATTCCTCCAAGATACATCTTCAGCTTCTCTGCAGGAGGCTGAGTTGCATGGTTAGCAATTACATGAAAAGCCCTTTCTTGCTCCTCAGTCAATGTGAAGCTTTTCACTATGCCATCAATAAGTGACTGAAGCTTATCATCTGCTGCTCTGAATTTGACAGACATTCAGTTGTAGTCTACCACCTTCACATTATCCACATAGTCTGCAGGTTTGTCATTGCCATTGTTGTGGCTACCAGGTTCATCTCTGGGCTTGCTTGCTGCCTGCTCCTCTCGCTGATGGAGAATATCTTCCCGCTTCTGGCTGAGAACACTTTTCCACTCTGGTCCTGTCATGGTGCTCACGGGCTGGAACCGGTCCATTGGTGAGAGTGATGCCTTGTCTTTGGAGTCATCAAGCCAGCCACTAGCATGAGCAATGTTCTCTGCCTGTTGCATCTGTGCAATACGAGTCAGGGACTTCCTCCCGAGAACATCCCATTCTGGATCATAGTCAATTGCCCCATCATCACCTGTTACACTGCTCTGCACAACATCAATGTAATCATCATTGTCAACTTCTTCTTCTTCTTCCTCAAAGCCCAGGCCTCCATGTTCTCCTTTGTCCTGTCTGTGCTTGGAAAAGTCATCTCGACTATCATTGCACTCATACTTTATGTGGAAGAACTTCATGACCTCTTGCTGCCGTTCTGTGAATTCATGGCTAGCAAATGCATCATCCCATGTCTGAGAAGTATCCTTGAGGTCTGAGCCTTTATGCCAAGGCTTGAAGAGCATGAGCATGGTCATGCAATATTCCTCTCTATTACCCTTGTCTTGACGTGGCAATGTGCCTCTAACAAAGTTGGGCACCCGAGCACAATGATCTGGTAGCATGACAGCCATGTGTGTTTCATACTGAGGATGAGTGGGCTGGAAGTGTGTGGGCTCATGGTAATTTGTGATAGCATCCATTTGCTCATCCTCTCTAGCCTTCTGTGCTGTCTCCTTTGTGAGCAACAATGGGTCATCATCATCAGACTCTTCCTTCCATTTGTCCTGGCCACCACCTCTGCGACTAGGCAATGGCTTTATATCTCGTTTGCTCTTGTCCTCATTGTTCTCCAGTTTAGCAATTTTCTCATGTACTGGCTTGAGCTTCTGAGTAGCACATTTTGGCACGTCCCATGGTTTGTTTGTCACTCAGTCTGATCCAGTCATACAGACACACTTGGGCATATTTAGTTAGCCTGTACATGTATGCTTCTGGTTAGGCGGTGGGTCTGGCATTGTCAGGGTAGGATCAATGTAATTATCCTGCTGCTGATCATTGAGCAACCGGTCATACACATCGGCCATGTTTGCACCCATGAACTCTGCTTGGTGGACACTTTCTAGATACTGAACCATTTTCTGTTGAAAGTCAGATGTGGGGTCCATGATACGCTCACGTATTTCCTGTGGAGTCAATGCATTTGTGATCCATAGCATGAGGTGCAGGTGCAGAGTCATCCGGCCCTGCTGCTCAACTGTTCCGTAGTATCCAGCTGTGTCTCCATACAAGCCAGGATGATTAGAGCCAACACCTAGAACATGCTTTATGAATAGCTCAACAACTACATTGAAAAATCTAGCTCCTGCGACTGGGTTAGCTGCAATCAACCTTGTACGTGCATCATTATCAAGGATGTCAGGCTTGTATGTCTCATTTGTGTCTGCAAAGTACAGGCACAATGGATGCTTCACATCTGCAGGTGCAAATGTTATGAACCATGATGGAGCTCCGAGGTAGGAGGTGAGGGCCCATATTTCATTGCACATGTGTTTCCTGCTTGTCAGAGATCCAGGGACTTTATATGCGACATGATCAACATCTTGTATGAGCTGATAGCAGTCCTTCTCTGCCTGTGTTTCTGGCTTGTAGTGTCCACGTTCTTTGAGTTTCTGAGTCAAATCATCCAGGACATTCTCATCTATAGACAAGATCCTATTGGCTACATCTGCAAACTTCTGCTGCTCTGCAAGCAGAAATCCACCAGTTGCACTGTGTTTGATCTGTTCATGATTGAATGCAACCAGTGGAAAGTAGGCCTCAGTCTGGAACCACTTGTCATGGTACATCAACAGTTGTTGTTTTCTCTCAGGCTCTGATATGTTCTTGAACCCTCTTGTGTTTCCTGGACCCCCAAGACCATATGGAAATAGCCAAGGAAACATCTGTGGGTACAGCTGTGGGTTTGAGAATAGGGACTCTGGCTGTTCTGATTGCCCAATACCAAGAGCTGCCTTTTTCTGTGATTTAAAATGCTGCAGTGCATAGGCCCATAATGCATCAGTGCTCATATTTGTGAGCTGTTCACCAATAAGCCCATGCACTACAAATGGACATGGACCCTCTGTAGTGCCATCATTCTCCTCAGATTCATTGGCAGCTTGGGTCTCAGGATCCTTGTTGCCTGTGCCTATGTGATAGTCAGGTATCACTGGAGGAGTGTCTTCAGAATACATCTCAAGGTTGCGGTAGGATATGTCTAAGTCT